ATGGAACAAACTCAGGGAAGAAGAATTAAAATAGATTTCACAGTCAATATCACATCATTACCGCTCTTTTTTTTTCTTCTACACATTTGCATGACTGCAGTAAATGATGAGCTTCCACTGGTCATTTATAATGATGAGGTCGGCCGTCACTGCTGTAAACAGAGGTCATTTAAGCAGGAAATGATTGGGTTTAAAAGGAAAATCTAGTGCATTGTTTTGTTTAAAGATTGCCAACATTAACAGAGTTCATTTTAAACCAGGGACATCAAACATGCGCCCCGTGGGCCAAAACCGGCCCACTAGATGATTCAATCTGGCCCGCTTGATACATTTTGAAAGTAGAAAAAATACAAACACTGTAAAATTATATTTCATTAAATATGAAGATTTTCTTATACACTTGTACTTTGCATGAAAAAAGGGGGAAAAACATGGACTGAGTGTTATTTATAGGTAATTATGTTATGATTGTAATGGTCCGGCCCACCTGATTAGGCTGCATGACAAGGCTAATTAGGCTTTTTACATGCATGGTTTTAATTATAATGTCTTTATAATCACCATCTCTCTGATTAAAGTCTGACTCAGCCTGGACCGAGTTGTTAATTTTGGTAATTTGTTGCAGCCAAAAATAAGTTATTTTTTAAACCTACACTGTGCTGCAATGGAAAAACATAATCCCAGTATATTAGTGTGGTCAGAGTCGACTCTGTGTCTGCAGTGTCATAATGATGCAGAGATGCTATCAAGAATTCTGGGGACATTTTTGACTGACATTTTTTAAAATTGTGATTTAAATGAGAGATGTTTTTAATGCATTACATTTATGAACAACAATGAATTAATGTCACATTTATAGTAACATAGATTAATTGCTATTTTGTGATGTCTGGCAAAGAAAATACATTTTGATGTTTCTTACCAATAACTAGTTAACTAGTTCCGTATGAGTTGACTTCTTTCTGGGTTTTTTTTATATATATATATATATCTTTGTGATTTGTTCTTTGCATCACGGGGGATTGTTCAAATCCCTGTGATGTGCTGGAGTGTGAGTCAATCAGCAGTAAAACACGGCTGTGACTCATCCCACAACCAAGTAATGGAATCATTCTGCACAATCAGACTGACCATGCAGCATGGATTTATCACAGCTAGAGTTCTATGCTTTTTTTTTTTTTTTTGTAGATGTGACGTCTGCAGTGGTGTGGATGGAAATATATCATTTTAAACATAAGTTGAAAGTCAAATCAGTTAAAAAAAAAGACACTTTGATTAAAGTGTCAACAGCTATTCCATCCACTTTCCCCCCAAAGAACCTCATTATGTTATTTAATGGAATACATTAAATACAATGTTATTCAGAAAAAAAAAAGATAATACATTTTTAGTCAAATACAGGATTTTACATCATTTAAGACGTGGAGCTCCCAGTAGAAATTCAGAATCTGAGAAATGAGAACAAACGACTCACGCCGGAGTGAACGCTGCAAACTCACTGTTCACTGTTCTATTTCTGCCATTTGGAGCTTTTAGTCACGACCTACTTCATTGACTGGACCTAAACTCACCACCAGAGCAGGCTGGGAACTGGAGCTTCTTTTAGCTTGTAATCAACACCCTGTGGATGCTGTGACTGTGGGACGCAGCTCACATGGAAAACGTGGTCCTGACTTCACCTGTGCTGTTACTGTCATGCAAGAAAAATACATTTCTGTATTGTTTTATTAATTAATACTTTTTTGTGCTTAATGAAAAAAGTATGGGCCAAATTTAAAATTGATATAATTTGAACTAAGGATTCCAGCTTTTATCCTGAATATGTGGAATATAAGACCTGCGAACCAGCAGGAGCGCTCAGCTCTGCTTTCTGAGAAATCTCTCTAATCGTTGGTGTCTGGCAGGTCTGTGTATCTTTAAGTTAGCAGCACTAGCTGTCAATCAAACTGAATTCAATGGCGTTGGCTGACAGCCTTCACTGAAATACTTTCATGATGCAGTCTTTGCTTTTGAATTTTAATCTCAGACCTCTGTGAGCGTCTCCTTAAAGCGTTGATCAGAATTCCATGTGAAGGCTTTGCCAGCCTTCGCAGGAAAATCCAACAATGGTTCAGCTGCAGACACAGAAGATTGTTCTCTGCTGGATATTAAACTGTCGCTACACTTTCAGCAGCAAAAACCACATAATGAAAGCAATCACAGAAGCAGAGAAACGTTTTGTTTCAACTGGAAAAGTGATTTCAGATGCATTAATGTGGTACCTTCTGGGTTTTTTTAAATGTACCGCAAATTAACATAAATGGCCTGACGAAATGTGGTCTTGAATTATTGATTGACTGATTGATTTTGTTAGTAGGAAAAAAAAAAATCTATCCAGACGTCAATGTTGTTTACCTAAAAACACAAGTGTTTACCACCAAATATATGTTTTATAGTCAATTGAAATTTATTCTCTCTGTTAGTGTATGTGTAACCTGACCGATATTATCAACCTGATATTAGCATATTATGGGTTTCGCCAAATGATGTGTGCCATAGAAATAGTTTTGGGGATAAACGGCTGTATATTGAAGTGAAAGCCACTAGATGGCAGCATTGTAGCTAATTTAATTATTCTCATACTTATACAATGGTTTGTACATATAAATAAATAAATATAATGCCTATGTCGGCAAAGGTTGATATCGGACGTACTTAGTTATTTTTGTGCTATGCAACTTATGTGAGAACTTTGCGGAAAGGTTGATATCGGACGTACTTAGTTAACATAAAATCTAATTTTAGATAAGATTTTTGTGAGAACTTTGCGAGCTACAAGTGGTCCTCAGGCAGGGAGTTTGAAACCACTTTACTAAATCATAGTTGTGCAGATGTAAACTCTTACTTTACTGCAATCGTCCTTCCATAAATGAGAGATAAAACACGCGATGCCATCAACGTGGAGCACTTTAATGTTTGGTGCCGGGAGCCTGACCATCACTTAGCTGACTGTCTGAGTCCTGGATCATTATGTTCTAGACAGTAGTGGTTACGACTGATTCCATTCCTGTAACACTAACATTGCCTTTAATAGGTTTGATCTGTTTACATGCACGGGGAGAGATTTCCTCATTTGTTTTTTGTCGTCTTCGCTGTTCCGCAACATTCTTCACGAGCTGACACTTAATGTTCGGAAAACGTGAACGACCACAGCAATTCTTGACAAAAAGTGACTTTGAACTACTCCACTGTGCAGCTGGAGCACAGGTGGTCAGTCAGGCAGCAGCCTATTGTCCCGTGGCTTCATTCTTCCTGGACTGACAAGTCATTTTTGTAGCCACAGGTTTTACCCCGGGGAGAATCTGAGTCCAGGTTAGCAACGACCAGAGCCTGAAAGGTGATTTGATGAGGGAGGGAGAAAGGTGTAAAATACTGCTGTTTAAAAATGTAACCCAAACAGCAGACACCCTCAGGTAATAAACAGATGTAATCTCAGTGTCGAAAACACCTTTGGACTTGGTTGGAATGAACCTTCATACGTACAATCTTTTATAGATAAAAAAAACAAATGAAAGAGGGGTGAAATGTTTCCGTTGTCCACTAGGGTGTAATTTTGAATGCTACGGGGCTCCATGATTTATGTCAGTTTATATAAAGTCAAGGACAAAGTGATTATCTTCCCCAAAGAAGATGCTGTTCTTTAAAATGCGTGCTTTTATGGAAAGACTCCATTCAGCATAATTTGTGAACATTTGTGATTTTTAAAAAGAAAATTGTATGTAGAAAAATTAAACATTTTATAAAATAAAAAAAACATATTCACAATACATATTTCTGGAGATAGGTGTTCTTTGTGTCAAATGTCTCTTCTCTAGAGACAACATCTGTGATGGTAAAGTGTTGTGTTTTCAGCATGCATTATACATTTTTATATATGTTTATACTGTATATATATATTTATATTTTCTTTATATTCTCATTCTTGTACAAGTTTCTCCTAAATGTCTTCTCTTAAATTTCATTTTTTGTGCTTGTCATAGATTGACTTTTTTTTTCCAGTTTATTTTCTGCCTGAATCTTTTGCTCATATTGATAAATACATGCCTCGGTCGTCTTTGAACATCTTCATCTTTTCTTACTCTGGTCTTTGCCTCTTTGGATGTTATGTTTCAAAAGCATCATTATATTTGTCGTTATATTAAATATATTTCTATTCATATTTATATATGTTTGATCTATATATATGTATATATATATATATAACATCGTTCCAAGTTCTAGTTCTAAAAATTCCAGGCTGTATTCAAGCTTCACAAACGCATCACAAAAGACCTTAACCAGGTTAGAAATTAAATTCCATACTGAATTTATTCCAGCTGAGATGATACAGGCATGTTGAGCTTCTTCTTCTTCACCACCCACTCACACATATATACAAACATCACCAAAGAGATACAAACGTGTACACACTGTATTGCATATTGTATGCAAAAACACATACAACATACACAGCATTTTTATTATCACATTAACGTCTCCATTGCACTGGCAATTTGAGAGGGTTAAAAAATCAAGCAGGACTTTGCCACCGAGGCGACAAAAGGTGCTGCGTGACAGAACTGTGCTTCCCTACGGTGATTATGACAGTGCTGGACTGAATACTCCATAAACAAAGGCATGAAACGAACTATACCTCAAAGAGATGACTGAGTCTCTGACGGAGGTTAAAAAGCCATGAAATGAGAGGAGAACACCCGGGGTCACCTGCGGGGCTCTGTAACTGTTCTTCTGAGTTTTATCTAAACACCAGGCAGGAAAAAGACGGAATTTGTTCCGGCGTCTCAGTGTCTCCTGTCTGTCTCCATCAGGGGTTTTTGACACAGTGGCGCTCCCACAAAATATTTAAAGAATTGTCCAGGTGGTTGACCGGGTTTGATTCCCGACCCTTGTCATGTGCTGCATCCCTGTCTCCTCTCTGTTGTCTACCTACAGTTTCTAATAAATAATCACAGGACGTCTCCTCTCTGTTGTCTACCTACAGTTCTTTCTAATAAATAATCACAGGATGTAAATTTGCGAATAACGTTCATCTTGTTTCTTCATCAGGGGTCAACACAGCTGTGTTTGACATAGTGATTGGCCAGTGTTGATGCCAGATGTCCCTCCAGACACCAGGGATTCAAGTCAAACCTAAAACTGTATGACAGGTGGGAATCCTACTATATTTTTTTTTTCAATTTATCATCTTGAATCATTTTCATTACCAATAAAATGTGCTGTTTCATAGCCATCATCGGTTAAGTTCGCAGCTAGGGGCCAAAAAGGGGAAAGAATTCTCAAGGGTGGCCTGCAGATTTCCAAAGGCGGCACCCCTTTGGGCCGCCACTGCCGTGACCTGCTGGAGAAAAGGGCTCCCTGGTCCGTCAGTAGGCACCAACAATAACGGCCTCCGTCTCTTTGGAAGGTCTCCTGTCAGTTACTAAAAAGTTGATCATCCCCTCGGACTTTATCAGAAGGTTGCAGCCCAGGAAGAAGATGCCGAACACCACGGTGAGGGACAAAACGCACATGACGGCGATCTGGACCACTCTCATGATGAAGAGGCTCCTCTCATCCGGCGCCGTGGCCACGAAGCCGTTGTCGGTGACCACTGAGGAAAAGTTGCAACAGAAAATCTCCTCGGTCCTGTTGAAGAGTCCGCTCTCCGTCTGGTTAAACCCGGTGTTGTTCATCTCCATCTCAGCCCGTTTCAATTATTTCAAATCTCACACAAACTTTCAGAGCGTCAGGCGGTGGAATATGCGCTGAATTGAAGAAGAACTGTCATGAAGTGGGGAGAAAAGATGGAGAAGGTTGAACACGTCCCGTCCGGTCAGACAGCTGTGTTCTTCTGGAGTTGAATAAACTGCTCTGCCGTCGCATCACTGGAGTCTCCGTGTGTCCTGCAGCCAGTTTGAGAGCGGAGTGAGTCCACCGACCGGCTGTTATATAGGCGGACTGTACCTGTCACAGCGTCTGAGGCTCGGAAAAACAGGACAAGAGCGCCACCATACGGCAACACTGTAGGTGGGAAGCAAAATATGTGAGGTGCGTGGGAAAATCAGTTTTATTTGGTTTATTTGTAGATCCGACATAGAAACAAACACACACAAAATCCATCCATCATCCATTCATCCATTCATCATCCATCCATCCATCCATCATCCATCCATCGATTCATCCATCCATTCACCCATCCTACTGTACTGTAACAGAAAGAAATACAAAATCAAATCAACTTAATGAACAATTGTTTAGATTTAAATAATGTTTAGGATTATCTTTGGATTAGAACCTACAACCTCCAAACTGACGATAAACCCTGTACAACACATAATGACATAATACATTATAATACAATGTAGTGTTCATAAATATGCAGGGTTCGTTATTGGCAGAGAGAGTTCTCATTGCATTGCATTCAGTAGTCCAGGCCAATAAGGTGTTTCTGAAGAAAGGGGGCGTGGTTATAAAGGCTATGCCTAACATTTTTTGATACAGCATAGTTGCCAAGCTGTAATTTTTTGTTGTTTTTTGTATTTCTGTAAATTTTCCTAAAAAAAACACCATTTTGAAATTTTTTTTGAAGTTTTTTATTTATTTCTTAATAATGCATTTTTAAATTATATAATCCTTAATAAGCCATATGTATTTAATGTTAATGAGGTATTTTAGCCAGAGCACTGCCATCCATCTACCCATGAAACATTTCAAACTTGGACTTCGACTCAGAGAACAAATCAATGTCTTTCCATTAAAACTATGAAGCCTCTAAAGGTCATTTAATGCCATTACAACTAATGTTAAAATGATTTTTCCCCCGACATGTCTTCACTGTAATATAGTCTGTAATATAGATTTGATTCGGTCCAAAAAATAAATGACTATAGTGTAAAATTGGTACAAATACAGCATGCACGTATCTTACACATGAAAAGGGGGGAAAATGACGTAATTTATAACAAAAATATTTTTATTAGAGGTGCTCAAGGTCAGGCTGTTGTGACAGAAACCAGTTTATACAAAGGCGTTGTTTATTATTCCACTCTTGGTCAGCGTTTGCATCAGGCAGTAAACAGGAACGGTGTTCAATGAAATGTCATTAATCAGTTTAAAAAATATGGCCAGTCTCTAGCTAAAATATGTTTCTAATATAAATAATATATATATATATATAAATATATATAATAAAAATTCTAAAATAATTTGTAAAACATCACGTAATGATGATTTGATCAAAGTCACATAAATACGCAGCTGGAATTTGATTTACTTTTATAACCGGATGACAAGTTAAATCTTTCAGATTAGAAGCAGATCTTTCAGAGTAGCAGCAGATGGCAGCAGTGCTCAGTGTGATTCTTAGAAGACCAACGCCAATGTACAATCTAAACGCCTACACAACGTCAGTCCGTATGTTTCAGGTAATTGTTTCTGGCACTTGCTTTAAAAGTACACAGTATAGGATATAGCATCATCTAGTGGTGACATGGAGTTACAAGTAGTTACATGCTGTGGTAGAATACTCCTGACTCTCTCCCACTTTTGTCTCAGAAGTTCGGTATCAAAACTTTTTGACTTACAACTAACTAATGTTTTGTTCACAGGGTAAATCCGTAGATATGTAAAGCAGTGGGTGGTGGAGTCCAATATTTTGTCGTTTATTTAAAATACCGAGTCTTCCCGCTGGGTGGGAAAAGTCGTTAAGATAGCCTGCTAATGTTTACACCTTAAATAAGTGATGCTAATCCTAACCTCAATCTTTCACTTGTTTAACAGATATCCCCAAAAACTAAACCTTTAATCTTAAAAACGTTTTTTTTAAATAACCTCACATGGTCAGATTCTTGTCATAGTGATGTGGTGTGTTAGTGATTTTATTTTTAAAATTAATAATTAAATGTATTTGTGTTTAATAACCATTAACACAGTCCCTGCTCTCGATGTACTGTACTTCAGTATTACAGTACATCGCCTTCATTAAACGCTGCGCTTGAAGAGCGCATCATGACTGACGTCTCTCTCAGCCAATCAGAGAGCAGAACTTAGTCACTTCCAGGTGGGTCTGAGCTGAGGTTAGATTGTGCTGAGCATCAGCTTTGAGCCTCCGTGTCCTCTCACCGTTACGTTCCCCAGTCAGGGAGCAGGTGCAGGTTGGCTACGGCGGAGCTATGGCCGTTATCGAGAACGTTTGAAAGAAAACAACACGCCAGTCCATGGAGACGTTTGGTTCTGTCCGGTTTACTGCAGCCCAGCCGGGGACACATGGTTTGGAGGAGTCCAGACAGCAGGTACCATGAGGCGGACTGTGCAGAAATGGACTGAGAGAGGGCTTTGACTAGGGTCAGTGTCGGTGCTGTGGTCTGTGCTGCCTCATGTCGTCTGCTCATGTTCAACACGTCGTCTGAAAGTGAGGACGACGACGATGCTGCTGTCGCTGGCAGAGGTCACCGGTTCAACTCCGTAATTCAGGTGAGCCGAGGTTGTCCTCATGTGTACCAAAGCCTCCTACTGTAGGGTAACAAACAGCACACCACCGTCAGTGAACACCTCACCATGTGTTTCTCTGAGCAAATGACAAAGGCAAAGAAAGTGTTTGTTTATATATATATATATATATATATATATCAGCTGAATATTAATTATTTAAATAGTGTAGTGTAGTTAAATAGTGTTTTGTGTCCAAAATTCAGAAAATGTCCAAATGTACCACATTTGGACTTTTGCTTCATGAATATACGTTCACATAAATACATTTTAAACTATTTCACTTATTTAAATGATAACGATATTTTTAACAACATAAATATTATTTATCTGACATCAGGTAGTCTTTACAGAGAGAACAGTGCTACACCATATCATGGTTTCCATGAGTCTGAAGTTGAAAATATACATATATGTTGTGTTTAACACCCCTCCCCTTATTGTTACAATACAAATGCAATTAATTTTCAAGAGCTGTCAAGGGCGATAAATATGCATTTATGTTAAACAAAAACCTTTTTGTAGTGCTAATATGGTGTGGTATCCAACAATATCAACACTGTCGGTTACTGACCCAGAATACATTTATGGTGACATAAAATTAAACAAATTTAAATGAAGAAATACCCAACTATAAATGTTGTTTTCATGCATGTGCCTTTTTAGTATTTATTAGTATTTGCTGTTGTAACACATTATACTCAGCTAATCATGATTGACTGTGTCAGACTCAACAGTTTTTCAGCAATTAATGACACTGACACACAATTGATTCCATAATAAAATAAAAATAAGCTACACCAGTTCAGTAAAAAAGGTTGGTTTTATACTTGGTGCATTTACACTAGGCCTTATTTGATAAATATTCTACATCATAAAATATAATATAGCAATATAAAATCACAGCAGCAAATATTGATGTTAACCAGTAAAATAATTTCTTTAGTTAAAAAGTCAAGCGGCCATATTTGATTGGTGGATAAATTGGATGATGGTTACAAAGCCAGAATTTATCGTTCATTTTTGTTTATTCACTTTTTTATATGCAAGATTATGATGGATCTTGTGTGGACAACATCTTCATAGTTTGTTACAAGTTCAGGACCTAACAAAATATGTTCACATATTAGTTTGCCTCTAATGAATCCAGGATAAATTCATGAACATTTGTCAAAATAAACAAAGTGCAACAGAAGCAAAAAGAAACACAAGTCCATGCAGAAAACGACCATTAAAAACTGGGTCATCTACAGACATCTACAGTAAAATGAAAAAAAAAAAAAACCAAACCAGCAGCATTAGCAAGAACAGCTTAATTAAGCACAGCCACATTAATACACATAAGCAGTTTTGGATGATAAGATTATCAAGGTAAAGTGAACACAGCATTTCAGTCACTGAATCACAGCTTTCCACAGCTAAGATGCAGGAAGTGAAGCTCCTGCTGCTCAGCTGCCCACACCCCACAAACATTTGGTCTTCAACCGGTGGCTCCTGAGCCGCGCGTGGCCCTTTAGCTTCTTTCCGATGGCTCTCTGCCGTAGACCAAAGATGGCCTGACTCTGCTTAAAAAAATTAACTTGTACATCAGCTCAGTATTATGCATAGCAAATAGGAAGGAGCTGTAATTTGATACAATGTCAAGGTTACTACATACATAATTCTATTGTGTTAGAATTGATCACTGCATGTAGAGATTTGCATTTTGTGTTTACAATGCAACAATGCATTGTGAGCTTTTTTTTTATACTTTATGGACTTGTAGTATTTCCATACAACCTTCATACAGTGCACGTTTATCTTCTAACAGGTTCAAATGTTTCTGCTGCTCTTGTGGTGGTGAAGGTTACAGATCCCCGTTCTGTACTGTTGCCACCTAGTGACTTTGGCGTTTGTACTGCGTACTGTACTTTAAGGGCAAATGAAGCTGGATAAAGCTGGTTGGGAGGCTGCATCTTCCCCGGGGCCATATGTTGCCAATGTGGGCCTAATGGGTTTACTGGGATAATCTTTATAATCACGTTCCTTTCCTCTTAGGGCTGGTTAACGTTTGTCAGTACTGTTGGCAGTGATAGTTATATAAACCACAAATGTTAACAGTCAAGCAAAAACTAGATTTACCTTTCAAATTTCATTAGCCGAAAATAGCATTTTATGTTATAATACGTTATACGTTTATAATTGCTTTGTTGGCTTTTTGTGAGTTTTATTTTTACCTGATGAAGTTGAAAAATTTGGCACACTTCTGTAAAGTTTTAAAAAAATTTATTTTAGAATTTCTGCCTTCCTATCCCAGCCCAGATAACATGTAGCTGTAGTTACCTAATTGTCTTCCCTAGACTGTGAAATGTTCAAAACATTCAAACATTGAAACATTCAAAGTTGGTCAAACAGTTCCAAAATAAAGTGGAAAACTTAAATTTTGGAAAGCTATTGAATTATATATAATTAATTGAAGAAGTGTACACACTTCTTCAATTTCCCCATCACAGAATTCTTAATTTGTCGAATACGGGGGGAATGTATTTCACACCAGATTACCACCTGCTTCTTTGCCTTTGCTACTCAAAAAAACTTAAGAATTTAGTTCTTTTTAAAAGTTGCAACACTTCAAAATTGATCATGTTTGAGGCTTGAAAAAACCTGATCAAATACAACAGCACAGCTCAATGATTGACGAACATATGGTAAAATCACACACATCAGTCTTAGAACTTTTTGACCTTTCCGTTACAGATACTAATTTTTTTTTTTAATGTCTTTGTTTTTTGTAGGATGACGTCCTGTTGTCAACCCTGCCGACTTTCTCAGGCTTTGTCCAGAGGTCAGACGCCTCATCAGCAGCCTGTGTCGTATTAACCGCTGGCTGCGACCTTACCCTTTAGGCTTCCCGGCTGATATCCCGGTGAGGTGATGCGGCGGTTTGTCTACTGTAAGGTGGTGTTAACCACCTCGCTAGTCTGGGTGTTGGTGGACGTATTCCTTCTCCTTTACTTCAGCGAGTGTAATAAGTGTGATGACAGGAAGGACCGCTCGTTACTTCCTGCCCTTCGAGGTGAGTCCACTGTCATTCACACTGTAGTAGAAGAATATGAACTGGATATACATTACTCCGAGTCTACTTAAAAGAAGCTACAGTCCCTGTCTGATATCTGCACATTTAAGGCTTTGAAATTTAAAATAATTAAATTAGATTCATATGGTTACGTTTTTATAGGGAATAAATCTCATTAAATCTCAGGGCCTGTATGAGTGGCATTGGTACTGATGTATCTGTTTACACCAGACGCATTACTTTTAAAAGCTTGTTGTTATTATATTTCTCTTATGGTGTGATTACTCATCCTGTAACTTGTCGAGTTACCACTGTGGTTGTGAGGAAATGCAGCTGCGCTTGTTAATTAATTTGATTTGTATCCAACAAAGTAAACAACGTGAAGTCCTCAACTATTAGAACACTCACTCCGGTCCAGGGGCCTGTGTGTCAGGCACACTTTAGCTGTCAGGTGGTAATTTTTTTAATGATATAATTACAACCTAATCAAAAATAAATTGATGTCTACTTGCCAAGCAATCAGAGTGGAGTGTGTTTTGAGGAGGGTGAAGTCGAACGTCTCTCCAAATAAAATCTAATTATTTTGATAGTGCCAAGTCATTAACGCAAAGTTATAAATAAATTACAGAACACCTAAAAGTAAACTATCGCCTCTGTCTCTCTCTCTCTCTCTCTCTCTATATATATATATATATAAATATATTAAATCTCTTTGTGTATTTATGAGAGGTAAGGAGAGATAGAGAGAAATAAAGGGATAAAGAAAGAGAGAGATTAAAAAACAAATATCCAGAGACAGAGAGCGAACCTTGGTGTGTGTTTCTAGGATCAGTCCACTGTTCATTTCCTCACATGACCTCGGAGGAAGCAGGTTTCTAAGACGCTTGCTAAGCTGCTTTTAAGGTTAGATTTAGGTTGAGCTGTCAGCTACGGAGACTGACTGCTTCTAAAAGTCTAATGTAACGTTACTAACAATGTGTCACGTCAACTACTTTTTTTTTTTTTTTACGACAAATGTTAAGTTCACTCTGAGGCTCCTAGCCAATGGCTAAGAGTTGCTCTGATAGTTATTCATACCCTTACATAAAGTGAATGGAGTTTATAACTTTCTAAGCCTGTTTTTTCAATCATGAGTACACAAAGAATAGATCCACATTGGTTCCTGCACAGGTAACAGTGGACTTAAGTTAGAGAGCAGTGATAAATGACTATGGTTTACATACTGTATATGTGTGTGTATTTATATGTGTGCATGTTTTATATCAATGTATATATGTATATGTAAATATATGTATATATGTGTATCTATAACATATGTAAATTCATACACAGTGTGAAATGCGTCAAAACTAAATCCTTTATAAAACATCAGCAAAGCTGTTGTTGCTGCTGTTGCCAAAACCACAGATTTCTCCCTCTCTGTTTGTGAGAGCTTATAAACACAACAACAACAGCAGTGCTGATGTTTTTTGCAGGCGGAGGACAAAAGAAACAGGGATTTTGTATCAGTTGAAAGAAATTTGCTTTCATGCATTTTTTTTTGGTTAAATCTATTAATACACCTCCAAATCTGTGAAATAAAAACCTTCTCACAGTAAATTAAATGGAATATTGCTGCCAGATCGCACTAAGAACAACGCCGACGGCAGCACCAAGGCAGACTGAGGATTAAGCAGAGAGCCCGTGCTGTCTGTATTAAATTCCTTATGATTTTCCCCACTATCACATTTTCTGTTTGTGTTATTTGGACGATCACTCTATATTTAGAGTGCCATGCAATAAAGTGTCATCATCGTTCATCATCTAAAGTATGTTTGATGTATGTGCTGATCTGGGAAATGACATTTTTCGCTCTTTACTGAAGTATCATAGCAGGTAGAAGTACACTTTACAGTGAGTACAGAAAAAAATGAAAGTGTCATAAAAGACAGAGGATAAAAAAAGCACCTCTTCCTCATCTCTCAGCTGCTTCCGTCAGAGGTCGTCTTTTGTCCACTATATCCAGTCCACTGTCTCTTCTCAGCACATGTCCAAACCATTGTATCCGTGCGTCTCCAGTTTTATCGTCAAAAAGCTCGAACTACAGTAACTGTCCATCTGATTGGCTCATTTCACTCCCAGTGAACATGTCAGCCCACCTGCACCTGTCAGACACAACCACAGATCATAGCAGGTCTCACTACTGTCTTATAGTGTACACCTTCACCAGTTCATTGGGAGGAATACACAGATCTCATCCACCCTCACTCATCCACCCTCACTCCCATTACTTTTTCAGCTTTTATCTTTCAGACACACACACACACACTCTGTTTCCACTGAACTTCTCTCTTCTTGGCTCCAAAGCAACTTCCACCAGGTTTTCTTTTTTCACTTCCTACTCTCACCATAAATTACAATGTCATCTGCAAACATCATGATCCATGGACCCTGCAGCTGTATTTCATCAGTCAACCTGTCCATTACCATTCATGAAAAGCCACCGTAACTCCATATTTTAGAGCCAAACACAGGGCCAACAAACTGGTTTTAGAAACTTTACTAAGTTCTCTGTGCTCTAAGTTTCAGTTATGATAGAGACAAGATTTTAGTTTTGTCATGTCTATATTTATGTTTGGATATTTTCTCATGAGATTCAAATCTTGTTTTGACCTCTTTTACGTTCCAGCGGTGATATCTCGCAGTCACGAAGGTCCAGGGGAGATGGGCAAGGCAGTGAACATCCCCAAGGATGAGCACGATAAGATGAAGGAGCTCTTCAAGATTAACCAGTTCAATCTGATGGCCAGCGACATGATTGCGCTCAACAGGAGTCTTCCCGACGTGAGGCTGGACGGGTGAGGTTTAGATGAGAGTGCTGTGACTCACACTGTTGAACGTTAAACATCTACAGACACCTACATGACTAACAAGCTGGTATAGAGTACAGGCCACACTGGATGCGTCAGTGTTGTGTCAGCAGAGGTTGTGATAAAAAAATCGACAGCTACCATTGACGTGCGTTTGTTTACTTCAGGATGCAGGATGTGTCTGATGTACCGTTTGTTTACTTCAGGATGCAGGATGTCTCTAATGTAACAACTGTGTGTCAGCTGTTCCCTACATTCCCATAAACACTACATTTGAACTACTGTGTGTTCAATTCCCTCCCCCTGAGTGATTGCGTTTGACTCCCCCTTGAGTTAAAACACCAAGGTTCTGTAGGGTCTGTGCAGTTACCACTGGTTCCTATTTTTCTCCTTCACCGTCTGGAAACTTTGATTGATACCCATTGATACCCATCACACATCGCAGGGAACCAGGGTTTCATTATGAAAACTCATTAAGAGTCTCGATGTGCGTAGACTTGTCTGTCAGCTTCACTCAGCACTACTGCAGTATTCAGACAAACGTATGAGACGGTTCAACAAAGCAGCAGGACTCTCTCTCTCTCTCGTCCTGACAGGAGTCTCCACAGGGTGGCAGAGAGTGAGACTAGTTGTTGAAATCCACGGCTCTCAGTTATCAAAGAAACATTAATCAGATGATTTAAATAACACATAATGGTTTGTCACGTCACTTTGAAGTCATTGGTGTTAATAAGTCATTGCGTGTGAAAAAAACCCATCAGTAATCATGGGCACCGTTCAGTGCAGAATCCATCAGATCCCTCCAGTGTGTGCATTAGGCTTGACGTTTTAATGGCAGCCTGGTGTTGTTTTCTGTCATTCAAGATTCACTTCAGCACCTAATGAAAATCCAAGGAGCTGTTTGTTTGAAACATGAGCACATTCATCCTGGGCTGCTGGGATGCAGAGGAGTTTGCCTCTCGTGGCGACATTACTCAAGTGATTCATGTTTGAATGTTCCACCTGAATTCTAGTTCTCCACTGCACTTCATTGGGGCAAAACAAGGCGCTGACAGTGACACAAATTCTCTCTCTTTTTTTCATACCCTTACATTGTACACGTCAACTCCACGTGTGCACTGTGGACAAGAAAATATATCCCGATGTTTCTTTTTTTGACATCGAACAAAACATGGCCAACATTAAAAAAAGGATTGTCTCGATTCTAAAATCATGAGATCACAGTTAAGATATTCCTAAGACATTTGGAAATGTCAGTCCCTGCTTCTGTGGGGTCAGAGTGGCTTGTCTTAAAAACTGTCTCATGGCCTGGTTCTGTCATCCAGCCCTGTCAGAATAAACCTCTGAACTGACAGAGCTTTGTTACTCAGATGACTTCATTTAAACCTCAGTCACCTGCAGTATTCAGCCTCTGATGTAGACTTTTCATCAGGCTCTGTCTTTCCTGTGTTTCAGCTCATTTGTCATTCGTCACCATCCACCACAGATTTATCACTATTAAAAATCATTGTAGACGAGGTGCTAACACGAAGCCTTTCGACTTTCTTTCTTCCACTTTCTGTGCTCAGCTGTAAGACCAAGGTGTACCCAGACGACCTGCCCAACACCAGCATCGTCATCGTGTTTCACAACGAAGCCTGGAGCACCCTGCTGCGGACCGTGCACAGCGTCATCAACCGCTCCCCCAGAATCCTGCTTGTGGAGATTGTGCTCGTCGATGATGCAAGTGAACGAGGTCGGTACAAGGTGGTGGTAATAATGCATGCGCTCAGCCAAGTGAACGAGGTCGGTACAAGGTGGTAATAATGCGCGCGCTCAGCATCAATCCTCTAGTGTATAAAAAAAAATACCGTCCTCTGAACAACACTAGTAAACAGTTGTTTTTTTGTTTTTTTCTTGTCAGAATTCCTGAAGAAGAAGCTGGAGAACTATGTGCGGACCCTCGAGGTTCCAGTGAGGATCCTGAGAATGGAGCAGCGCTCTGGTCTCATCAGAGCCAGGTTGAGGGGGGCGGCCGCGACTAAAGGTCAGGTCATCACCTTCCTGGATGCTCACTGTGAATGCACTGTGGGCTGGCTGGAGCCCCTGCTGTCCAGGATCAAAGAAGACAGGTGGGAGCAGAAAATGGAAACTCAACGCCTACAACAGTTAAATAAATCATTCTCTTCAGCTAAATCCTTTTGAGGGCTGCAGAGGGGACTGAAGCCAATGGCTCTAGGCCACATATACAAACAAAACAACCATTGTTATGACTGTGCACTCACAGTCATAACAGTGGTCAGGTGAGATGTTCAACTAACCTAGATCTGCACGGTTTTGAAATGTGGGAGGAAAACTTACAACCCAAATAAAATTCACAGGGAGAACATTCACACTGCAATGACTTTTTTTTACCATAAGACCTGTAAAAATCAGATAAATGATCCATTCATTCATCCATAAAATTATCCATTATCAAACTCATCTTATGTTTGCCTTTCGAGGAGCTTCGCTGCGTGGTTCTTCAAATGTAGTCGTTTTTTAAATTTTTTTATGCCTGCTCAGTCCTGACACATTAATTCACATAAGATCACATTTCACCTCAGTTGCATCATTGCATGGAAGCTCCAACTTCTGTGTAAATATTGATGAAGCTGCAGACTTCCAGTCATGAATACACCGTTTGGGACTGACACCGCTGACGGGAGATGATAATCATTTTTGCATCGTCTGCTCCTTCAGCCGCCTCAGAGGAAATCAGCCACTCTCTGTATGTGTTAGGCTGCATTTAAAGAAGTGGGAACTCTGCAGCACATGATGCTATACAGCAGAAAGGTGTGGAAGTTCATCTCGTCATGTTCCGCTTTATACTTTATAACAAATGGAGCGTGGCTAAGGAAGAAGAGTTTATATCAGATCTGTTATTTCAAAATGGAAAAACAATTATTTGTCTATGGACCGTGAGTCAGACGTGAACAAAGGGACGGATTCATAATGAAAATATGGCAATTCTCTGATCTTGAATCTGAAGTTGCTCTCAAATTACTGAGGATATTATATTAGGGAGCCATTATGTCTATAAGGGACGCGGCTGCATGTGTATTCATGTCAGTGATTCTGGGCCCAGGCTGAGGAGAAGGTGCGGAATGTACACCATATGTTCCCAATAAATTCCCTGTCAGCTGGCAAGATTGATGACAACAGCGTATCTCTGTGCGCAGTCAAATCAGATTTGTGTGATATTATTATTTCATCAGATCCATTATCTGCTGCTCACAAATACCTATTGTATTTGTTTAAATTGTTGAAACACGAGAGCTGCTGTCGTTTCAAAAAGGGCAACGAATGTCGATTTCACGTCCCAGATCAGTCTGCTAATCGTTTGCCAGTTTAATATCAGAGGTTTTATTTATTGATTTTTCTATTGGATCTAACTTTTGATGTACCTTGTTATAATAATAATAATAACACAGTACCAATCCAACACTTTAGAACTGCTCTCAATGGACACAACACACCACGCCGACCCTCAGTCTGCTTTTTCTCATACAAAAAATGTATATATTTTAATACACAAAATGAAGAGAAAGAGCTTCATCCTGTCTTTACACTAGGGGTATGGCTTTTCGCCTAATTACTTTGAGAAAACAATCAGTTTAGGACTCTTTGGCTCATTTGACTTCACTTCATGACCTGCAATATTCCACTCCATAAAGTCCTCATATGCTGCAGTAACGCAGAACCAGCGGTTTAGTGCTCCGTAAATATTTTTACGTGAACGTTAATTCCCAACTTTACTGCGCGTGTCTTTCAGGACGGCGGTGGTTTGTCCTATCATCGATGTCATCAGCGACGAGACGTTTGAATACATGGCAGGCTCAGATATGACATACGGCGGATTCAACTGGAAACTCAATTTCCGCTGGTACCCTGTTCCTCAGCGGGAGATGGACCGACGCAAAGGGGACAGAACTCTCCCTGTCAGGTACACAAAGGCACTGTTTCCATGTGACGACAGGTCAGTCCCACCGGTTCAGACTTTCCTCTTTAGAAATAACAGAAGGAATGACAGCTTACACTAAAAGGTCAAAAGACAGATGTGAGGATGAACGCGTGGTGGTCTCTGAATTTTTTTTTATTTTGTTTTTTTGAGCTTTTAACAGAATTTTTCTAAAGAAGACAAAATAGATTTAACATCCAATTTCCCCTCAGGATAAATATACTATACTGTACACACATTCTGTGTGCAGTACAGTAAATCCCACTGATGCAAACATCTGCCTCAACAGCTGCTGTGTAGCTTTGTTTCCGTGTTTTACACTAAGTCCATATAAGCCTCGTTCTTTTATGAATAGAAATTAGAACATCTGCTGACTTTGGCGTTTTTGGATCTGCAGGACAATCCGTTGCCGAGGTACAAATCTACAGCATAAAATTAATTAAAAGATGAAAGTAATTACGCCTCCAAGGCTCGGTATCAAATTGTCAAACAAATTGGTCTTTTATTATTTTTCTGATGTTCCTCCCAGTTACACTGAGATGCTAATGACTGCAGCACGGAGTGTTTTTGTGTTTTGTTCTTTATTTTGTTCTTTGCCTCTTTTAGAACCCCCACCATGGCGGGGGGCCTGTTCTCAATAGACAAAACCTATTTTGAAGAAATAGGCAGCTATGATCCAGGGATGGATATCTGGGGTGGAGAGAATCTGGAAATGTCTTTCAGGGTAAGTTAGCCTCTTCATGTCTCTTTTCAATGTGAAGATGCAATAACATCTACCAGAGCAATACATTTGACTTTTATAGGGACAATACAGTTAACATTGTTCAAATACAAAGAATTGAACTGGTGTGATGAAGAGAGAGTTTTAGCTGTGTTCATTTGGACTTTTATGTAAAATGATTTTTACCATGAAAATATATAAATAACCATGATACAAAACTACACCTTTACTGTGAAGATGCTTTCAAACATAAAATTAAAATACATAGACGGCACAACAGGATTGAATATCAATGACACGTACGTTTACTGACACGCACTACTCTACTCACACGTCTGGTTTTCCCTGAAGCTGCACACGATATGGTTATATTTTTGCACAACAGAACACGTCCATCAACAATTCCAGCTGCTTACGGTGGTGTAAATCAGATAATAAAAGTTTTCAGGAAGGCTCCTTTAATTCAGTTCTTTATGTTTTAAATGTCAACCCCATGATCTGATTGTTGTTTCAGACCATGTTCAGGCCTTAATGGTCACACTGTATCCTCCTCTAATGGGGACCTGTGGTAGGGTAATATGAAATGAGTCATGTTCCACTGGTTATAATGAACACAGTAATGATTTCAGAGTCATTTAAACTCCTGCACGTGATTTAGAACCAGATGCACAAAACCATTCAACGAGTTATCCCATTATTGAGCGGTTACTCAGGGAAATGTTCCCAACGTGACACACAGTGGCTGTTTCAGGTTGACTGACTGGCATTTTCACCTCCAACTGAACCAGGGTAACATACAAGACCCTCAGTATGTGAGGCTTCACGAGGCACCCTGGTGCAGTGAGCCACATAAGTTCTAGTGTCGCCATGGTAACGTTAGCTAAGTGATGACAGAGATATTAGTTCTAAGGTACGATCGAGTGCAGAATCTTAGGTTGAGGAGACACTGTGAGATTTTTCTTTGCCCGATTTGACCCAGAATTCCCAGTTGGAGCTTGATGTTTGGATGTTTGTTCCCTGTTCTTATATGCTGTATATATTTTTTTTTGGACACTTTGTTCCCTGTTCTTATATACTGTATATATTTTAAAATGGACACTTTGTTCCCTGTTCTTATATATTGTATATATATATTTTTTTTAAAATATCTCTCTCTTTGTCTTATAGATTTGGCAGTGCGGTGGCTCCTTGGAAATTGTGACCTGCTCTCACGTGGGTCACGTCTTCAGGAAGGCCACTCCATACAGTTTCCCCGGAGGAACGGGCCAAGTCATCAACAAGAACAACAGACGTCTGGCTGAAGTCTGGATGGATGATTTTAAGGATTTCTTCTATATTATCTCTCCAGGTAAAGTCCAATAAAGGACAGAATTCCATGATGAAATTCCTTTTTCAATAAAACAATAGTTTTAAAAACTATATTATAGTATAGTATAAAAAGTATAATACATGTGCAGTATTCTCAGACAGGAATGGACAAATTACCCTGCAGAAAATATGTAGCAAACAACGAGGAGTTCAGCAGCAGTGGCTGTGTTATTGTTCACTGTTCAGAACAACAGGAACTGTCTGTTTTGCCACCTCTGTGTGAAAATGAGAAATGTTTGGAATCTTGTCAGAATCACATAATGCAGAAATGCTGCCATATGTCAGCTTTTAAGACAGGGGGCGCCACTCCAATGTTTTTTTGTTGTTGTTGTTTTTCGAGCTCCAGTTCAACCATGTTTACTGATCCTCTCATCAAGTGATGCCCTTCTGTTAGGTGACACATGTTATGCATCTGTGACATCTCAGCACCTGATTGGTTCAACCCAGCCAATTGTTGACAAAATATGTGGCAAAGTTTCACTTTTAAATCACAGATTATAGAATTGCAATGCATCTGAAAAAAAAAGAATCCCCTTAGTGCTAGTTTGAGAGTAGGTTAACAGCGACTTTCTTATTTAATGTTATTGCCCTTAAGGAAACTAATCCCTCCTCCTTATTCATTCAAATTGTTCTCGTACTCCGCTCTGTGTTTGGAAATTGTTTTCTGCACCTTATCAGGCAAACTGGAGTTGAACAGCTCCTATTTTTAGCTGCTGAGTTCTCGTCTCCATTAGAGTCTCGGAAACAGGAACATGACAACGTTTGACTGACAGATGAGTAGCCCCACCCCATCTGTCAGCATTGAGATGTGAATACAATTTCACCCCCACCCCCCACCAATATCTCCCAGCCCGTAAGAAACAGACCATAATGTGCAGATCTCAGCGCATGAATCAAGACCTTCCTCTGTGCTCTGGAGGGATTTTCTGCGGATGAGTATGCAGACAGGGCTGCAGCGGTGATGGATGAGTCTTTCTGTACGTTGTGGCCCCCGAACGACTGTCTGCCCCTCCAGGACATTAGAGGGAATGATCTCGGCCACGCTGCGGCCAAACCTCACTTATTGGCAGAGAGGAACACGGTGCGATGCTCAGGCAGAATTTAGGAGTGATCCTATTAAAAGCACATCTGCCTCCCTGTCCTTTCTCTTCACTGGTGATTTCCAGATCAAAGAGGCTATTCATCATCTGCAACATGTGAAGCTCGGACTTTACAGGGAGAGAAGAAAGGGAACTCAGGGTCAGAGGGGGAGATGCTCTTGTCTAATAGAGGAGAAGAAAGTATAGATTATTTTAACAATTGAAGTGATACAGTTTGTTTTTATATATTTGAGGAAAAAAGCTTCATATGTTTTGTGACTCAGTTTTCTTTCACTGGAATCACTGGTGTCCTTTAGTACGATGATGAAATGGGGCCACATTTAGAGGAAAAAAAGTAAAATTTCAACAGTTAAGTTGTAGTATTAAGTTTATGATGTTTGTCATCTTCTAAAAAAATTAAACTCCAAAATTGTAAATAGAAAGTGTAGAACCTACATTCATTGTTGTCTAATGGCTGGTATTTGGCAGTGACGAGATTTCTTCTCCACAGGAGTGATGCGGGTTGACTACGGCGACGTTTCTTCACGTAAGGCCTTCCGCGAGGCCTTGAAGTGCAAACCTTTCTCCTGGTATTTGGAGAACGTCTACCCTGATTCCCAGATTCCAAGGAGATACTACTCCCTCGGTGAAGTATGAACTGGCTTTTTTTAATATATATATATATACATATATATTTAAGGGGCATAAAAAATTTAACTGTAGATAGTGAGAGTTATTCACAAGAAAAGTGGCCTCAGTGTGACCGTCAGCCCTCAGTGTCATGTCCACAGCAGGAGGTGAAGAGAGAGCGATCTGATGAAGACCTCTTGATGAATGAGCCTGTAATCCTTCCATATTCAAACTGCTCAGGCTGAGAGGATATATATATATTCACTCTGTGAGCTGTGCCTGGTATGAGACACTGCAGGGGTATCTTCTAGCCGACCATCTCCTTCACTCCCTCACAGCCATCCTCATTGTCACAGAACACAGTCAGCCTTTCCCCAACAGCCGCAGCCATTAGGTTTCATATCACTTAATTACAAGTGCTGTTCTGTCTCCGCAGGAGAGGCAGAATAAGTTTCTTTAGATATGGAGCAGCTCTGTGAATGTGAGGACTCATTAGACAGAGGAGTCGTCTACACACTGTATCTGTGGTTGTGCCGAACAACTGTCATACAGTCAAGAGGCATGAAATCAGCCGACACACTAATCCACTGTTTGGATTAAATAAGTAGATTAATAACGTTATATATCTGTGACTGAAAATATAGCCACTTCAAAACTAACGGAGTTCCTTTGAAATATGAGTGGAACACATTGAAATTCTGTGTCCGTCTTGTTTCCCAGATCAGAAACGTGGAGACCAATCAGTGTGTGGACAACATGGGGAGAAAAGAGAACGAGAGAGTCGGCTTTTTTAACTGTCATGGTATGGGCGGAAACCAGGTGAGGAATCTACACACGTGTACTTTGAAATATTCAGATACGCAGTATTTTAAACAATGACGTTAGAATGATTTGAATGAAAATGTATTTGTTCTCCCAGTAATGGATGAAGGCATGGACTTAAATTTGACTTGATTTTGCATCTTTTTTAAATACTGTATTTTTACTTCAAAATACACGACATACTGTGTACAGGGCTGGGAAACCAATCTGAGTGAAATAATGAAGAAAATGTTTTTGTTTTAAAATCTGAATGTTATATAGTGCATAAGCTAAGAATGTAATATCAATATAATACAAAAAAATCCCCATCATCTATCACTTTTACCTTATATAACCAGACATTATAGTATAGAGTTGTGGGGAAATAGAAAAAAAAATGACAAAAGGAGAGAGAGAGTCCTTAAGAAGCTCTGATTTTTATTTTTAATAGGCCAACATTAGATCATTTTTGTCATTAATCAAACAAATCTAATAAAACCTATGCCAAAATCTAGAGCTGATCATATTAAGTAGGCTCATAAATCCTCTTTTTAACCTAAATGCTTGATAAATAAATCCTGATGACCGTCCTGCTGCTCTCCATCTTCTGACCGAGACGTTCCGCTGTCGTAGGTTTTCTCCTACACCGCAGATAAAGAAATTAGAACAGATGACCTCTGTCTGGACGTCTCCCGCCTCAACGGACCCGTGGTCATGCTCAAGTGTCACCACATGAAGGGGAACCAGATGTTTGAGTACGATGCTGAGGTGAGCTGACGTTCACTGGTGTAGCTGCTGTTTTATTGTAACTTTTCGAACATTTGCTGCATTGAAAACGACTTTGACGAATTGCTGATAAATTGTGTTTGTAAGAGGTCGTTGCTGTGTGTATTGAAAGCACACAAATGATTTGGGTTCTGCGGTGGGAAATTAAAATGCCTCCTTTTTTAGCCACCAGATGGTGCTGTGCACCATTTATTAAGTAGCGAAGAGCTCGAACTGCTTTCTCTTTTTTTTTGTTTTCTGCTTGTGCGTAGTATGTTGGCAAATGGGAATATGATTTTAAGGTAAGATGCTTAAGTTTATTGTATTGTATTGCTGTATGTTGCCCTATAATTTATACCGTCACCTCCTACTCTGTGGTAGCAAAGTAAAAACGAGTGAGCATGTCTGTGTTATTAGCTAGCTGTGTATAACCTTAAATAACTATGTTCTGTTACTTGAACTTAGCTAACAACATGCAGAAATGTTAGCATTAGCCAAAAGTACTAATTCCACCACAAACCTAGCCAAAAAAATAAAAAGGTAAATCAAAGTTGACAGCAGTATCAATCAAAGGAAAAATAATTAATCTAAACCGGGTATATTATATTAGAAAAACAAATAGACGTAAGGCTAAAAATAAAAGGAAGATTAGTAACATGTGAGCCAAAAAATAATATAAATATATATATATATATATATATTTTTTAAAACAAGTGCTAACAGCAGGCCCAAAAGTAAAGTGTGAAAGTTGGCCATAAATTCAACCGTTATGTTGCCAAAAATATGAATAAATAGAAATTGGCCAAGGATACAGAGTAAAGTTGTTGCTGGAAAACATATCTTTGTGCTGTTTGAGAGTTCTGATTATAGAATGATACACTTTTCCGACTAAGTAAATGAAAATGTAAATGAAAATAAATTGAGTGTGTATTAGTCATTCTGTGATAATAATTACACAAACAAAAGAATAAATATTAACATGGTTGCAGGCTGAGCTAAAGTTATCAGATGTACATAATCAAAAGCATTTGAAATCTGAAAAGTAAATTAAACAGTGAAACTAATTGATCACAAATAAGTACACACACGGTTGACATGCCATCACACAGTACATGTGTGAACAGCATAGAAGATAAGATTTCTTGTTGAACTTCTTGCACAGCTGCATTTGTTTCTTGCCCTTTTGAATTTGTCAATAATTCCATTTGTTTACAAGACATTTAAAATGTTGTCGACCGCAAACTTTAGGAATGTTACATAATCACAGCATCAGCTGTACTGTACTGTGTTGAAAATGAATGTAATTCAACACTTTTCACTGGGGATGTCAGTGAAGAGACTGCACTCAATTCTCTAACGTTCAACACTTTTCACTGGGGAAGTCAGTGAAGAGACTGCACTAAATTCTCTAACGTCTCTCAGATATAGAAACGTCCCGTCAGTGAACTGTGGATTTGACAAGTTCAGAGAGCCTGGAGTCCTTACCATCAAGCACTGAACAAACCCTGAGAGAACGCCTTTTAATAGACATTGTTCTCCTGGAGAATTACGTAAAAAGCTGAATAATTCATAAAGTGAGGTCTGGTCTCTGTTGTAAACAGCGCTGGGGTTTCACCGCTGTCAGTGGTTGAAGTTATTTTTAGCGCAGGTGTGACAGTCGGGGGCTGAATCCAGGGTGACTACAGTGCCATTAACATTTCATCTGCTCATCGCTTTCACTTTCACGGGTATATCTGACTTCTCCATATTCCCTCTGTATCCATTCACCGCAGACTGCCTGTCCTTTCCCTCACCTGTTCTGCTTCTGTTAAAACCAGAAATACGCTCAGTCACACACGATTACAGCAGTACATTCCCTCATCAGGCTGGATTTTTTTTTTTTCCCCTAAATTGAGTTCAGTTCAATTTGAGTAAAAGCAGTCGTCTTTTTCTACACGTGAGTTGTCGATTAAGCGCAGACCTACGTTGTTTTAATTCCCCTGCTGGTTCTAAACCAATTCCTTCACTGTTCCAACCCTGGGATTTGTAAATCTGATGATTCTCAGTCGATTCTCAGTCGGTTTCAGGTAAAACTCTAAATAAATGCAAGGCTAGGGTTTCTGTTACAATCAATTGCAGCCCGACATCGAGCCGTAAAGTCAATTTTTATCCCACAGTGTAAAACCCACAGCCTCCATCAATGAATCTGGAGCTCATCAGAAAACTGAACATGGAACTTCAAAATAAAACAAGTGAAATACTGCACTCAGATCTCAGTGCGTTTCCAAATATAAATTTACCAGCCTCACCTCCCTGAGTCCCCCACCCTGTGTTATGTAATACAATGTTATCATAGACTGTATATAAATAATGGCCTGAGCTGTCTACGTTCAGACTAGTTGCATAAGAAAGACCCAGAAGGTGCTGTGGTTTTAGGTCTTATTCAGTAGAACATGATGTCAGTTTTATGAGTGGAGATCACAAGGAAAAAATTACGAATAAAGCAGTGACTCAGACGAAGTTGATGACAAAATTGTGGAATGCAAACAGAAATGCAGTAAACAATGGTGACCTCATGAATCATTAAAGAAGCTTGAGGCTGAAACCACTACATACAATAGTTCCCCGGGAGATGATTACTGTCATAATACTAAGATAGCAGAGTGGTTTTGTTTCCGTTTCCATTCCAAAGACACTTACGTTTATATAAAGTTACTTCCAACAGCAGCCTTGGCTAAAGATGGCTACAGCCATTTCTTATATACAGTCTATGACCTGTGCACAATGTATCTTCTTAGTACCTGTTTTTAATTTTTGTTTTTACAAAAAAGTACATTTTAAAATCCATATATCCCAGATTTGACTATTGATTATCGTTCAAGTGAAGCTAAATTTCAACAAATACAACAGTGACAGAATTAACAAACCTTTGACTTAAACTGTTTCTAAGATCTGGACTTCTCAGGTTTACCATCACTATAATGTCTTCCTCTGACTCACCGCAGAGGCACACCTTCCTTCACATCATCACCCAATCATGTCTGACCATCAGCCGTCTGGAGGACGGCACCTACGGCCCCACGGTGGAGTACTGTAACAGTAGTCCCATACAGACGTGGACTCTCCACAACTTCACTCGTCTCTCGGTGGCTAAACGCCTCTACTTCAACCCCACTGATTATGTTCTCTGAGCTCTTCATCAGCTCTGTGGGGGCTGTAGATGCTGAGGTGAACAGGTCAGTACAATTAGGGCTCAGGTTGAAGCTGGACAGTCATTTTAGCTTTAGTATTTGGCTGTGTTGACGTTACAAAGTAGATTAGTTTGACCCGTTAGCTCCTTCATAGTCACCATTGTAGGTCATGAGCACATTTTTTTTTTCTGATGTGAGTGAGAATTAAAAAAAAATTTTTAATAAATATATTAATTACATATATTAAATAATTAAAAAAATTAAATGTATTATTTTTTCTTTTGCAAGTGGTTGATGCATTTGCAAAAGTAAAATCTAGACCCTGCTGTAAACGCAACTCAGAATGCTTCCACATCAACATTCTCTTCAATAATGTTTTGTTTGGTGACGGTTATTACGGCATTATCAGTGATTTTAGGCTGTTGACTCACCCATTTGGCCTTGTTTGTTTTGGTCAGTGTGATTGCCGGACTCACCTCCGTCTGCCTGCAGGAGTTGATTATGTACAGTTTCCATGTCAACCCTGGGCAAGTTTGCTCATGCTGTGAACAGTATCTGCCTATTATACCTGTTTCTATTACTTTCTGGTCCGCTCTGAGTGCTGAAAGCAAGCAAGTCGCTTGCTTCACATAGTAAAGTGCTTAATGGAAGCTGCGTCGACTAAAAGCCTGTATTGACAGGCGCAAGAATAGAAGACAATATCTCTCACTAAATTCCAGAACTACCTGTTCGGTAAATGAACATTTGAATGGTCAGCAATGCAGTTTAGGAGCAAATGTTTGCTGATTTTTTTTTTTGAATGATAACTTGACTGAATAAAGCAGAAATGTTTTACTTCTGTGAACATGAAGCAATTTAGTTCACATTTCTGGCATTGCTCTTCCTCAAAATTGGAACTTGTGGTCTAAATACTCCTTCGATGTACGCCATTAAACCCAGGAGAATATGTGTGATTGTTGGTGGGAGGTGCAGCTCAGAACAGACCGAAATGCTGTTGGTTTTAAATTGCAAAGTAATCACTTGGTGTTTGAAAACTGTTTTTTAAGAATTTAACAATTTCTTTTATGTCTGTATATCAGACAGAGTTGGACTTAAAATTTTGTCAAAATAAGTTTTCACTAATTTACAGAATTAAAAAAAACAATTACTGGATTTCATGGTAGCATTTGCACAACAGAACCCCCTGCAGGGGAGTTATGGGCTGTGCAACATTATGCTAACACAAAACAAAAACTGAACGACACGTTTCTCCTTTAATGTCAAGAGACATTAGATGAATGCAGGGGCAATTGTCACGATTTTTATCCCTCAGTCTTGGTCATAATATATATGCAGATATATTACAGGTAGCAAAGCTCCTTCCTGTCAGATGTCCACTTCATACACTGGGCATTATGTCAGTGGCACAGACACATCAAGTAGTGACAGATGTGCCGTCCAGGTAGTTCTGTGTATAAGATGCTATTTGCGAGACCTTTAGCCAGTCGTCATGCTAAATTAGATCTCGTTTGACATTTATTTTCCAACATAAATATTTTATTTAAATGGGGAAATTCAGTGGCAGCGGCAGCGGCTGGTGCACGCTGCCTGAGACGGAGGGGGAGATGTTTATTTTTAGCTGATTATCTACATGAAAGGCTGATTGAAATGGGCTTGCCATTGTTTACAAGTTCTTTTGAAGTGATCCTTCATTGTGAACCTACCTTTCATGGCCTTGGCCTGACAGGCCACTCTGCCATTGGACTGCAGCAGCTGTGTACACTCTGTGCCATGCACATATTGTAAAAGCCATCGAATCCCTGTTATCAATGCTCTTCAGCACTCAGGATGCTTATTTACATTTGTTTGTAACGAATGTGTTGTGGCTCAGCATTTCTGTCTCCTCCGTGGTCGTTAGTTCCCTTTCCTTTTCCACTCGTGCCTGCCTCTCCTTTCATTCTCTCCGCATTCACTGCAGAGTTTCCTGCAACTCAGGCACTGTTGTATCTCTCTCTAAATGCTAAAGAGCAATTTCTCTGTGGCACGCCACAGTTTTTGTGGCCAAGCGAGGTAAATTGTGTAAGGAGCTCCCAGCGCTGCTGGTGTGTGTCGGTGCTGCGGCAGTAAAATGACCTGCTGTTAAATGGCCTATTTTGCTGCTCACGCGACAAAAAAAAAAAGGGTCCTTGTGGCACGGCACACTCAAAAGGGACGCAGATACGCAGGATAAGAACGAGCACGAGATTTTGAAGACTACTGTTGTCTGAGTCTGGCCTAAAATCTCACAAGAATCAGTCCAGTCCAGTGTGAGATTTTCTCCAGATTCAACACAAAAACACATTGTCAACAAAAAGCTCCCGTGCCTTGCAGTAAGTCCAGTGTTGCCTGGTGACAAAGAGACTAACGTTTCTCAGCCAGAGCTGATGGTTATAAAACCAACCTCTGACGGTCACAGCTGTGCACACAGTCAGAAAATGTACACTGGAGACAGTGGTCGGAGTTTCCTCTGCTCCTCGGGGAGCATGAAATAAGTAGAAAATGCAATTTCTTAAGAAATTGCAGGGGGATTGTCAGTTTCTGCCTGAGCTGAAGCTGAACTAAATGGCTCTCTTGGATGTGTAGGAGAGAAAGAAAACACACAGTTGAAGTTGTATGAGATCCTGGCAATGTCAAACTAGTATGAGGTTTGGAACATCGTCATGAGGAGTGACGATAAAAATGTAAACAGAAATAAACAAATCTGGATTAACTGTATAAAAGTTAGACCTCCTCTAAGCCTTTAACCAAGAGAAACGTTAAGTGAATATGACGGGAAGTAACATCGGAATATTTTCACTATTTATGCAACTCCAAACTTACTTCAGTGTCACAGATTCAAAAGAGATTTCCACGTCTGTCAGATTATGAAACGACTTTGCTGAAATCATCCCTCCACTATTTTTAATCACACTGACACAAATACTTTCCACAGCCGGGAAGTGCATGAATAATTCAGCTTCAGCACAGTTACGCATTCACAAATATTTTTTTATTGGTGTAGACTTACACGGCCTCATTAATAGAAACAGAAAACATGCTCGTGAAAGTCAGTCGTTGTAAACATACACAGAAGTATGCAATTAAAATGAAAAGATGCAGTAAAACATTCCCAACAAATTACCTGCTTTATAAACATAGGAATTTACAGGGACCTGATCGAAATGCCTCGGTTAATTTTGGAAATAGGACACGGTGAGGCTCAGAGTTTAACAACCTGAATGAGATGGAATAAGAGGCTGCCACTTCCACATAATCACCCCCTCCACCACCCCCACCCTCCAAAAAAAATGCAAATGAGCTTTGTGACCATTCGTCAGTACGGCAAATGTGTGTGTAAAAACCTTTTGCTTCACTGAAGTCGTTTTAAGTCAAAAAAACCTTTTGCCTTCACTGAAGTCATTGTCATTTTACAAAATCTCTCACTGTTTATTTTTGTGATACGATGGCCTGGCTGACCTTTGACCCCAGAGGTGCCCCCTTCTGTTGCAAACGTTGAGTTACAAGAGACATTCTTGAAGTAAACAAGTTTATATTTGTGGGTTCTTTTGGACAAAGCTCTGTTGTAACTCTGTTGTTGGTATTTTTAGGACAGTGCTGTCGGTGTCTGACTGACTCCCTGTGGGCTACCAGATGCCTGAGGGCGCGGTGTCAGTGACCACCAGTCAGGCTTGTTGTCAACTCATTAGTCAGTTGTAGCTGTAAGGAGTTTTCTGTCCTTTCAATTCACTGTTGTTCCTAACAGTAGGAACTGTATGTAGGGACGACCTCTTGGTACCTGTTGGTGACGGAACATGATGTTAATGAATATTATTTTGATAAATTGAAATCAGTTTAGGTTTTATGCCCTCCCTTTGAGCAGGTGTTTCCAAACTTGGGGGTGTGGACCTACTGGGTGCACATGGACGAAAACTGTTCATCTCAATGAAGTGCTCGTTGGATTTTGGTGAATTTAATTGCAATTGATTATACTTGATTTCTCATAACGTACAGTACCATCATGATCTAGGCAGATACGAGTTAGTTTAAGATTGGAGTATATATTTATATTGGTAAATGTTATGGTAAGGGGACTGGAGAATGCAAATTGTTTACTGTATATGAAGTACCGTACAGTACCATCATGATCTGTGTGTATATGTGTGTGTATCTGTGTGTGTGTGTGTATGCCCTAGCTCACACTCCTCTGTTACCAGGCAGGACCAGACCAACTCTTTATATTTTATGGCTGGAGTTCAAACATGGCCTGTGTGCTCATTAGTGCGATATCTTCTGTCAACATCCAAGGCATAATCTTTTTAAGTTTTTTAATTAAGTCCCAGCCTTATAACTAAATCATCAAAATTTAAGTTTTTTAATTAAGTCCCAGCCTCATAACTAAATCATCAAAATGACATATTTAATGTCACTTTTTTTTCCTTCTGCCATATTTTCTTATACTGTGGTGACAAAGGTTTTGTTTATCCAGGTTATTAAGGCTGTGCTAACCTTGAAAAACATTACCTTCAAGTTAGTCCTGAAACAACCGTTTTCAGCAGTGATCAAATGTTGGCTCGCAGGTCAAATCCGGCCCATTGAAGCATCCAATTCGGCCTGCGACTGGATTCCAAAATAGACATCAAATAATAATTGTATGGTAAGGTAAAGCCTAGGATAAGGTTTTTCAATTGCTCATCTTTTATCCCCTTAAAAACGAAGCTCCAGATTTCAGAACACATTATGATATTTAATGTTACACCACCATCAGTTCTTCATACCAGGTGACTCTTTTCCCGGTCCGTATATTTTAAAGGATTTCCTTTCGTCTCCTGTTTGTTCTTTGTTTGAAGTTGTAGAACAGAACAGCACAGGCAGCACTGGAGAGGGACAAGAGATTCTGTTTGTTGGAGGGGAGGAAGAGATAAATGTGTTGCGAGGACGTGATTGTCACTGCAGAATAAACTCAATAACCGGAATCAACTCGCACGTCTTAGCTCATATTTATTCCTTTTTGTTTATATTTACGAAGCCAGGGGAGAATAAGCCGACGTGTCCGTCAACTGGAAGTGAATCACTTTCACAATTTTGATAAGCAAGAGCGAATCGTTACTGTGACAAACTCCAAACTAATCCCTTTATACAGATTCATGATATCAGTGTTCAGAATCTGTGGGCCAGAGACAGGATTGGGGGCCGTGAGCCTCCCGGTGGTTAAATGGAGTCTGACCCGTAGAGAGAGAAGAGGCAGAACGCATTAACATAATACTGGCTATAGGTACTTTGTTTATCTGCTCTCATTTGCTTATTATGATGTTGCACTGCTGGATTAATCTTGTCTCTTTTTTTTTTTTTTTTTCAAATCTCAAATTTTCCTTGATCAGGTGTGAATAGAAAATCTTCAGTCCAGTCCCTGAACTCAGAAACAAAGATAAAATCCAGAGTGTTTTAGTATAAGTTTGGAAAATGTTAGGATTGTTAGGATTTTTAAAATACTGCCTTTTTATTCTCGTTCATCTGTCTGTAAAACAGGGGTCCAACTACTTGATTCAATTTTAAGCCTGGATTTTGGTCAAATTGAAGTTTCAGTTTTGATTGGCTCTTTATATCTGTACTGTTGACCGTCTGATTCACTGTTAGAGACAGTGTTTGAGCAAGATTTCTGTCAACTTTTCGACCCAATCTTCTCTTTTCACCCTTTTTTTTTTCTTTTTAACTGAAATGTGTATACAAGCAACAATAACAGCTTTTACTAGTTATTATTATTATTGCATCTTTGTCGAGTGTTGAGCTTATCCAGGTTTCACCTGTTGCAAAACATTTCTTTCTTTTATTTTGTGCAAAAACTAAAGTGATATTTGTCTCTGGACTTTTTTGACACACCATCGAGTTCAGGGTCTTAGCTGGCACTTGTGAAAAGCTGAAGCTTGACTTGAGATGAAATCGCTGATGTTGACAAACAGAAGGAGCACGAACACAGTTATCAAGTCATTTCCAAGTGTCAACAACTAAAAAAAAAAGTAATACAAAGAAACGTTTGAGGAGATCCAGACGTTGGATAACGGTAGAAAACAAATGATTTTTAACACTCTAGACAGAAAAATAGTCACAGGCTGGATGCTCTGCACTGAGACACTCTAAAAACTCTACACCGAAGTAAAGTGTGCGAGGCAGCAAGCCAAGAAAAACTCTCTGGAAGGGATGTCACAAAGTCAGACTAAAGGACTATTAGGAAAACCTGCATAAGAGCTGGAGGAACGAGTCCCACAGCTGCATGGATCAGGAGAGGGATCTTTTTTTTACCCTAGAATCAAACTTTGGGGATTAGTCAGTGCACACAAAAAAACTAGTAATCCTGTGACAGTTATTGATCCATGGAAATGGTCCATTTCAGTTCAAAAGACACTTTGATCACAGGAAAGAAGATGAGAGTGTTGAATTGTCATCTTCATGTTTTTATTTTCTGATAAATTGCGTAATGTTACCAAAAATCTCCATTTAAAGACTTTTTTTTAAATAAAAAAATATTTGTTTCCTTTTGGTTTGAAATAGCCTTCTGTTAATGAGAAGAAGGTGGAGCTGGGGGGGGGGGCATTGATATAACACTGTCTTGAGTTCATTTCATGGTCAATGAAACATATCCTAGAAAGGTATCGATTTTGGTATGAGGTGAGTATACAAATAAAAATACTCATACCTATAAATAACAGTCTTTTCTTCTTTTTTTTAAAAATCTCTTTCCAGAAACTCACTCTGCTTCACGTGAACAGCAACCAGTGTTTGGACATGCCATCTGAGGAGGACAAGATGGTCCCCACGCTCAGAGACTGCAACGGCAGCCGCTCCCAGCAGTGGCTTTTACGAAACATGACTCTTAACGTCTGATGACCTCACCTCCACATCTGCTGCATCATTTGAACCCTGTCTTTTTCACCGCTCCTGGTTCTCCTCACCCTCAGCAGGTGGCTCTTAACCAACACACACACACACACACACACACACACACACACATGCATCGTATTCCTTCTCCCGTTGCAGCCTGGCTAATCAATATGAACCATCCAGGCAGAACAGCTTATCGTCCATTATGGAGGCGTCTCTTCTTTGCAGCCAACCACCAGCCTTGGAGAGCAGCTGCACCTGACGTTCAGGCGACAGGACGACGCTGCACTTTACCCTGATCCAAACCAGGCGGAGGGAAGGATGTGTGTGAGGTTTGTGCGTGGAGAACATCGATGTCATTTCCTTTGGCTTGTTAGCAGTTAGCTGTGGCTCCACTCATCTGCTCAGACCTGCTTCTCAGCAGCTGGACTAATGATGAAACAGAGGAGCATCTGTAACATAAATGTTGTACAGGCTTCACCCTGAGCTGGAATCACTGCTGTGGGTACAATCATGAAGAGAGAGAGAGCGACAAGGCTGCAAAGCTGCTGCCTTCTCCTTCCATGTCGGTGTGTGGGCTCCACACAAACGTGATGCTAATGAAACCAGAGTGTAGAGGAGCTACAGTATAAACCACATTACCTGCAGTTGGAGTTTTTTTTTTTTTATTATTATTTTTCAAGGTCACATTTTGTGCTGTCAGTGGAGAAAAATAACAAGAAATTTGGTGCAGTAAGCAACGATGTGTTCTACTGCTGTGAACGCTCTGCTGCTTCTGGTACAGACTCCGCTTTACGCCTTAAAACCTCATCACGTGTTATGCAAAATTAAACGATTCCCTGCATCACACCTACAACTATTGTCCTAAATAACTGATGATTCTAGTGTTTGTACAGGTGAATCTGAGGGGACACTGTTCCAAGCCTTTCTACATATAGATGAACTAACACAAACTTTAAAAGTTCAGGTGTCCATTTGTTCAGCCCGGTGATGACAATCTGTGACAGCTTTTTGCTTTCAGATTTTACAGAAGGGGACTGAGTGTTTGGCTCTGGTACGTTTTGCTGCTTGCATATCCTAACAACCCATCTGCGCCGCAGCTAAGGTTTGGACAAAGGCTTCAGAACAGGTACAGAAAGAAAACTGTACAAACACTAGTTTTATACTGTATTTTCCCATTAACTGTTCAACATGGTGGTAATGTTGACTTGTATTTGTAATCATATTGTAAGGACATTAAAATCTGCTTTTTAATTGCAGGTTTTTTTCAGTCCTGTTGTCAACTGTTAAAACAGTTACAGCTTCTTCTCTAAATTTCCTTATTTAAAAACTACATTTTTCACTGAACCAAGGGAATAAAATTACAGATTAGTCATATATATTCTAATTTGGGGAATGAATCCAATTGAAATTGCCATGCTGGGCCTTGCCTGCATTTGATTCGTGCTTCTTTGGCTGGTCCAACCCCCCACCCCACCCCCCATTTTGAGAACCAGGGCCTCAAAGGATTTTATTTATTTTTTGTTACATCTGAGCCTTGATTAAAAACACTAGAGGAAACTGAGTCTGTGCTGGACCAAATATTCCATCTTTTCTACAGCAGATCTCTGTAACCGCCAAGAAACCACACTTCCTGTAGACGATGAGCCATTGATTAACCTTCTAATTTTTTTCATAAACAAATGTACACGTTATAACAGTGCAGACTGCACTTTAAGCCGCTGGGCGGGCTTGACTGTTTGTGCTTCAAGGACACACGACGCGCTTCGGTGTTACTGATGGAGAATGTCCTAATTTTTATAAACTACTATCATTAAGCGCAGCATTATCTAGACACTTAGGAAATTTCCGACCGTTGGCTTCTGACATCATTAAATATTTTGTTGAATGTAGATGTTTACAGAATTTGTCAGGTTCTCGGCAGCGTGGCTCAACTCTCCAATCACAAATGTGCAGACTCCGGTTTTTAATGATGCCACCGGAGCAGAATGTTATCTTAATTGCTTTGCAGTGGAGGGAAATGAAAATACATCTTCGTACGTCTTCATAACGTAAGGTATGATTAAATTTTGTACATTTCTTGCATTATTGTTTTAAAACCCTAATGTCCCCAGGACCACATTAATTCAGCGTTGACCAAATACATGCAGTAGTCACAAACTGCAGTATGTTACGTTAAAGAGAAAGTAGAGAAATGTGTAATGAGATTTTTAAGATAACATGGGAGATTAAAAAAAAAAAGGTGCAGCTAAAGTCTTTTTTTCTCCCATGTTTACTACCTGTATTTTTCATCATGTTCTGTAGAAGTGATAAAACACAGTAGATACTGTTTGTTGCTTTATTCAAACAGGGCAGTGGAAGAAATGAAACTGTGGCTGCAGCAAAGAATGTCAGACATAATGAACACCCAGCTCTGAGTATGTAATTGATTTAGAAAGAGCTTTCTTTCACTGATATCGCCCGTGCACTCAAGTACCATCGACTGCACAGTGTTATCATAACAGCATATTAACTAAAAACACTTTTATCATCTTCAAGCAGATTCAGAGCTCTGGTTTCGAGGCATCGACTCGCTGCTTTTTTTATTTTTTTATTTAAACATCTGTACAAATTACAGTATGATGTCTCCGAAGAATTGCTCGTGCCTTTAGAAGGTTGTTTGTCATTTTGGTTTATTAGTGTTTAGACGATTAAATCCCTCTGGTGTTGGTAAAGTAGAAGAATGTTTAGACGGTTTTAATTTGATATTACATTCGAAACTTGATCAAAAATCTTGCTGTTTGGCTGTTAAATGTGTTTATGTGGATTTTTCCCCCTCATCAGCCTAACAAATATTAGTAGTACCTACATTGCAAAAGCGCCTGTGTATAAAATATGAGAGTAAATATCTGATTTAAAACCTGGAGCTGTGAAAGTAGCAACAACGTGCTACAAAAGTTAAGTCCACATAAGGTCAGGTCTTTGATAGTACTAGATACTGTGATACTAAAAGACGTTAAAATACAACTTGTATAAAGAAGTACCCCACATTTTGATAAGGTTTCTTTCAAAAATGTACACTTTTGCGGCGTCACTTTTGCAACCTGCTAGCATCGCTCATACCTTACATACGGTACAGTACAGTACAGTACATGTCATCGACCAGGCTACAAATAGTGATAGATGATGATGTCGTTATGTTTGTTCTTGTTCTTGTACATACAGAACCAGTTATTTTTTTAAAACGCTGTAAAACTTGAACACTCCACAGAGAGAAAAAAGATATCTAGTGTTGGAGAAAAAAAATATTTATGCAGATTTAGAATGATAAAAAAAATAGCGCTTGCTTTGTTTTGTTTTTTTGTTTTTTTATTGCGTGGTATTTTGGAATCACCATTGGTCCCACGAAGCCAATTCTCAGACTACCTACAGGACCTAAGGCGAGCGTACACAGGGGAACATTTAATGGTGAAATACTATCAATGCTGCTTGAATACTGAGTCGTTGCCAAGTGCCTGCTTGGCATTCAGAGTCAAATTCAATCACCTCTTTTCGCACACATTTATTGTTTTTCATTATCTTAAAGTGCATGGTGTTTGAAGAAATTGTTATGTTTCAATGTACTGTCCGTAAAGTGATAGTGTTATCTGTTTGTACACTTTGCCTTTTTTGTAGAAAATAAATAAAAAAAATTAGATTAAGCAACACAGCATTTGCATTAATTCCATGGTAAAAGGCCTCGCGTCGACGCATCAATTGTTTTTAAGCCTTTTTTTTAAGCCTTTTTAAACCTGTGAACGTCTCATTACAGGACTTCATTCAGTTTGCGTTGGCCGTCATGGATTCCATGGATTTTCTTTTCTCTTCTTTTGTCCAGCATCTGTGAAGACATCTGCCGCTGTCACCTGACGGAGTTATTTCAGACATGGCTCATTATTCTGGGTTTCACTGGAGTGAGGCCGGCTTGAGCTGGAGGTGACCCTGGCTTTGTTTAAGAGGAGAAATGTAATTACTGTTGCTGTAACAACAACGCACAGTGTCCAATCAGGCGGTTGGGCTTGGTGGAGATCGAATGTCACAAGGTCACCTAGCCTTCGTGAGTCATTCGGCCGACGTCACTGATCAACTCAAAGTGATTAGTGGGTTGACATAAATGAATAAGATATGTTTATTTATAGGTGGGTTGACATAAATGAATAAGATATGACCTATGATATTTATAGAAAACTTTAGAGCCACTTGTCAAGTTTTGCGTGGCTGTGTTAAGATGGATGATATGAAGTCAAATAATTTGCTAAAAAAATTGGGTTTTTGTTACGTTATGTTTCCCATATTTTCCCTAGGTTTGACATTTTGTATCTGACTCAGTTATAATAATTTTAATGTGTTTTTGGAAAACTGTCCAAACTTGGCTTTCAGGTAAGTCTGCACTTCAGTGTTATACTGTATGACTGAAGGATGTTTGCTTTGTATGTGGCTGTGTGATTAACACTGAAGGATGTTTGCTTTGTATGTGGCCGTGTGATTAACACAACAGACTGTCTGCCTGTCAGGCTACAACCTAGCTGTGACTCCAGGTCTGCTGTGATTGGCCCTTACTTCACCAACCAGCTTCAGTTTAGGTCAGGTCTTTGAAAACAAATGACAAATAAACTCCATGGTGCAATAATCAGCTATGAGCAACACTTCTAAATATACTGAGAGAATATGACTAATGTTGTGTAGTTGTGTGTTCTGTTGGTCTGTTAGCCTCTATGATCTCAGTGAAGTGTACATTTAACCCAGGACAGAACCGTTCTCTCTGTGTTTTGTCTTTCAGCTTCTCCGCTTTCCGGGTTTGTGCCGTTTCACTGTCACACCGCCCTGATTTACATGAAATGAATGCAGACTTTGCTAATGTGATCAGTAACACCTGGTTGTTCTCACAGAGACGTGTCGCAGTAACGGCTGTGAAAAGGAATAATTAGTAAGAGCTTCATGTTTCATTAGTTTTACACGTGCAAACAAACGTGCGATCAGGAGTCACCCTCAGTGTGGGGAGGCTGCTTAGCTCGTTTTCAGGCTAGCCATTTACAATTCAATTCTTTTCTGCCATGCCCCCCCTTGTGGACAGAAGTTTTTTCACCCACTCTCACCTTCTCGAATTGAAATACTATTGAGCGCCTGGTATGAGTTCCTGGCAACTGCATACTGTCCCCCTGATTATTAAAATAGATTAATAAAATGAGCTGCAATGCTGCCATCTAGTGGCGTTCACTTTCACATACAGTCGTTTTTTCCCAAAACTAGTCTACATATTTTGGCGAAACCCAGGCATTGCTTTATTGAGTTTTCATTATTGGAGAAAAAACTTATAATGATTCTTACAGATATAACATAATTACGGTAATATCGATTGGCCGATATTGTTGGACATCCCTAAAAAAAATAATTTTATTATGCTTGTTTCTTGCAGCGCTGCATAAACACTGGCCTGACGGAAAAGGAGGAAAAGCTGGAGACGAGGGGCGGCTGAACCGGTGGAAATAACTCAAATCTTCACTAAGGCAAAAAAAAACCCCACAACATAACAAACTCATTGGACCTTTTAATTGGTCAGGCTAATGAACACTTGGCACATATAAATATATATATATCAAAAAAAAAAAAACCCACAACATAACAAACTCATTGGAACTTTTAACTGGTCAGGCTAATTAACACTTGGCAGATATAAATATATATATTATATATAAAAAATAATAAGAGAAGCCCCATTTTTCTTCACTAAGAGAGGGGAGAAAACATTGACTTTTTAATAATTCAGACTGCTGCATTTTAATGAATGTCTGTAAACCTCTCTATGGTAAACACTGCAGTGGTATTAATGGGTGTCTCTCTCAGCAGAGCTGACAGCACATCAGTGCCTCACTACACACTCAGCGGGGGCCCCTATGGGGACGTGCTGCTGTTTCCAACAGCCTCACACCTGTAGGAGGCCAAACCCAGGCTGGTTAACTGGGCCTGTGAGGATAAGATAGTGGTTCTGTGGTCAGGCCGGGGGGAGTCCATTAAGGGCTGAGATGCTGTAAAATAATAGCCCTAATGGAGGCTTTATCTGTAGCTATCTGTGGCTAGCCGTAGTTCTCTACGGCTCTCTGAGGTAGAACCAGCTCAGCGCTCCTCGCCGTGGTGAAGTGTGGAGCTCTCACCTACAGGAGGCATGGCCTCATTAAATATCAGGAAAATAAAACTCTGCCTGCTGGGAACTTATTACACCATACGTCTTCGAGTTTATACAGTTAACCCTTTCTAATACTGTAATAGCACTGCAACCAACAAAGTAGTCAGAGTAGCTTTGGAATGCTGCAAGGCAACGATTCAACGTTCTAACAATCTGACGATTCCTTTGCTAAAGTTTCTCTTGTGCACCACCCTCACATGCACATATGCCACACCTCAACAGAACAATAGTGAGAATGAGTTTTTATGAACATTCTTTAAACCTAACCCTAAAGTCGTGAGTGATTGTGTTGCCCGTCGTCTGTGTAGCTACCCACTCTGGATCATTTTAATCACGGCACTTACTCTGAGTTTCAGTTAAGTAAATGTTAACTGCACTAAAACTGTGCAGCTACATGTTAATCAGCTGCTGTTTGGTCCTTTATAAACTAATGGAGACTTTGATTGATTGTTAATTGTAATTGGTTGACAGGTTGAGGCAATCAAATTTTCTACAGACTCAACATCATTTACCTCAACATTATTAATCTCCTCCTCAAGCAATAATTCATAGAGATTTTCGTTATTACAGTATTATTTGAACTTTGTGAGAGCTGTCTGGTTGTATCTCACGAGTCACTGACTTGCACGGTGATGTTTTGAAGTAAATAATATACATTGCTGTTTTTTTTTTTGTTTGTTTTTTAGTTTAGTTCAACAGTAACATGAATCACCAGAGGGAGACACGTCTTAAGTAGCTTCGTCCTGCGGCTCCAACAGTAAAGATAAGTCCACTTCCAAATGGCTGTTAGATAAAACTGAAAGAGCGTGGGACGGGGGGGTTGGAGGGGGAGAAGAATAATGGGGGTGAGAAAAGCTATTTTTGCTCCCTTGATATTGCTCAGATGATGAAGAACGGGGTTTTGTTTGACCAGAGCACAACTGCTTTCTGCTTTTTCAAGATAGCGACGTGTCTAAACACGGCAGTCCTGACAGAAAGACAAGACAAACGTGCAGCTTTTAAAAGGGCGCGTGTGCGTCTGCTGACGTGAAAATGACAAAGTTAATGAAAGATAAGAAACTCGAAGGACCGGGGGGAAACTTCTGGAAACGTCTGTGGTGTATGACACTTCAACACATTAACAGGACAGTGTTTGTATTTGTAGAAGTGACATCAGGATTATTTCCTGAAGTTGTACTTTAAATTCTTCGTCTTGTCAAAGCTAATATTAGGGATTTTTGTAATATCTGTAAGAATTGTTATTTTTTTAAGACGTTTACTGTAGTTTTGGGGAAAAGTTGCACGATATTAGCATAATTTTGTAATATACGTAAGAATTGTTATTTTTTTTAGACGTTTACCGTAGAATCGGAAATTAAGTGTTTCGACAATATTGGATATCGGCAAAAAGGTCTTATTGGACATCATTCGCTAATTCTGGAAATTAAGTGTTTCGGATCATATTGGTCATCACTCGCTAATATAAAAAGAAAAAAGCTCGCTGCTCACTATTGGCTGTTGATTTACAGTTTTATTATGGTGTTTTTGGTGGTGGAGGGTTGTCGTGTTTTTTACTCACTTTACACACAACACTTTTAGATGTTGTTTCTAGTCTTTGACCTTAATTGTTGTAGAATTTCACCAACCGTAACGTCCACTAGCTGCAGCCTTGTTCTTCTTTTTGTTTTGTTACTCCTGCAAAACGGAACGCTTTCACCTTCTTTCACAAAAAGTGAGCTAAACGCACAATAGTGCCAGGTTTTTACTCGGCCACAGCCAGGCTAAGGCTAACTACGGCGTGACCTCAGAGTGTGTGATGAAAACTGCTGGATTTCTCCATTAAGGACACAATAGAAGCTGAGTCTCTGTCCTTCTGGTCTCTGTGATCGTCTGTAGGAGCTGTCGCCGTCAAACCAACAAAAACATGCAGCTCTAGACACTCAATTTCAAATTAGACGCTACACGTAGCTTCGCATGTTTCCCCGTTTCCTCCAGTGTCTCGCGTGTTTATTTGATTGTATGCTGCTCTGCTGCTCAATATATGGAGCTCCATCAACAAAGTGAATCCAATAATAGGTCCAGGCAGAGTGGGGGAGTGAGGGGGATAATCAACCCCTTGGATGGAACTCTCTTTTCCGCTGGAGACCACAGAAGAAAATCCAGCACTTAATTGTTGAGGGGACCTGAAGTTCCAGAGCGCCAGCACTAAAAAGCAGCTTTAATTAGACGTGGTGTGAGGCCATTATCGCAGTGGGGCTCAGATCCGTTGCCACAGGAGGCACAGCACACGGCAGACACAGAGAATAATGTACAGTACCTGTCTCTCAACGCGCCGGACCCGCCGAGGGACCGGAGCCAGACGTTTGTGATGTATGTTGGCAATCTCTTGAGTAATTTTTTATTGATTCACAAGGAGGAAGTCACTCTAACAAGCTTCTCCTCTGTGATAATCCCCTTTTAGTGTTGAAAGCAGTGATTAGGAGGTGGGGCCTTGCTGCTCTCAGCCGTAATTGTAAAGTAATCAATCATCAATCACCAGGAGCCGTTGCACGATACACTCCTAGTTTGGATGCTATTTTCGAACGACGCATCAACAAATATTTTCCCTCTTCATCGGGGGAATGTAGCCCCAACCAGTCTGAGCCGGAGCGATATTTCATTTTGCTCTCTAAGTGTAGCTGTTAAGGCTCGTGCACACGCAATAATTCATCTTTGACTGTGTTGATGTAAAAGCAATCATTCTCATTAGCCCATGTGGTTATGGCTTAATTGAGGGTTGAGTCTTGAGTTTAGAGTTTTATCACTGATGCTATCACAAGTCACATTTTAAACGTCCCATTTTGGTCAAATTCAAGACAGATTTTGCCTGAAGATGCAGCTTTGAACATTTCAGACCAAGAATGCAGAAGGTTTTGTTGTTTCCACGTCCTTCGTCCTGTCTTTACACACACTGCAAACCAGTCTTTGCACAGAGAAAATTCAGGATGTTTGTCTGTCATAAGTAAAGAATTGTATGTTTAGATTCAGTTCCGGAGCTTTTATAAATTGTTGTTTTTGGTGCAGGAGTCGTGTATTTGTAATCGGTGGAAATAAAAGTTCATCAGAGCAGAGGTGGCTCTCCATGAGGTGTCTGTGATTGTGGAGGATGTATTGGAAAATGAAAAATTACAGCAGATTGTCTGAAGTGATTGGCCGATCGTCTTGGATAATGACCTGAAGTGCTGTCCTGATTGAGGGAGGAGGACGAATGGATCTCGTGCCCCACTGTTGGTTAATTAGATTAATAAATCAATCGTTTTCTCCCATCAGGCTTCGCTCGGGTTATTTTTGTCAGATGGCTTACAGGAAAAGGAATCGTTAAAAGTTGCTGATTGTTCATCCACAGCAGTTTGACAGACCAGGAGAAGCTGTGCAAACAGCAATTTTCTAATGAAGCTGAATTAAAAGAAGAAGAAAATTCTCTGCAAGAAATGAAAAGTGCTGCCTTTACAAATGTTCCCCATGATCAGACCGCAGCTATGATCTGCATATATTCTAATTTAGTGCACAGTGTCACACATCAGCTGCCTCCTGGTGTGTGACAGGAACAAGCCTGGACTCTAACCTCATTTCTGTGTGAGCTGTCACTGACGGAGCCTTTGTGCTGAGCAGGATTTAAGTGTTTCTGTTTGGCTGGGGATTAAAGAAAAAAAAAAGTGTTTCAAATTAGGGCCTTCAAATAGACTTACTCATGGCTGCTCTTTTCAAGGCGAGCCATAAATGACACTTTATTCCCACACGCTTCATGCAAATTGTGTTTCGTGCTTACGCCGCTGTGATTAAATGTGATCCTAAAATGTAAACACATGATGAAGGTGGAATTAGGAACAGATGAAAACACTGTCACGTTTCATTAACAGTACGTTTGCATCGTCTTTAGTATTTGAGGGTTTTATTTAATGCTGTTTTGGCACCTGATCAGATACTGACCTTGATGCGAAAAAATGTCTTTGACAGTTTGTTAAAGCAAGTGGTTGATGTGATTGCCTTACATCAAGACCATCACTGGTTCAATCCCTGTTCTTTGTGTGTGTGGGTTCTGGCCACGAACTGCAGCTTCTTCCCACTGTCCAAAACAAAATACAAATATTTGTCATTCGCTCTTACTCAGCCATAGGTTTGGTTGTGTGTGTCGTGGTTGTTTGTTTGAGGAGGGTCTACCTCACCCTCGCTGATGCCTGCTGTGATTGGTACGTACGATTACCACCCACCCCCCACAGCCCTGATAAAACGCGGTCCTTGGTTTTGCTGGTGTCATCATTTTCCTCCTTCTGTGATTGCATTTTAATTATGTTTTCATTCAGATGTGTTTAAAATGACAGAACCAGTGAATGTCAAG